CCTACTTACTCATCTGGTCGCGAAGGACCAGAGGGACTGGGACGCGTTGCTTCCCTATGTTATGTTCGCATATAATACGGCCACACACGGGAGTACGAACGACACCCCGGTCTTCCTCCTGTATGGTAGGGACCCTGATCTCCATCATGAACTTCAAACGCGACCTCAGCTTCCGTACTATGGGACATTAGAAAGTTACAGGGAGGAACTCTCGCTCCAACTGCGCTTTGCTCATGATATAGCTCGGAAGCTTAACACCAAGGCCGCCGGGACTCGGAAGGAGCGACATGACAAATGCTCAGCGGACGTGGAGTTCGGAGTAGGGGAAAGAGTATACCTCCGCGCAAAGCAGACAGGGCAGGGCCTGTCGCGAAAGCTGGCCCCCAAGTGGAAGGGCCCGTATCGGGTCGTGGAAAAATTGAGCCCAGTGGTATTCCGCTTGAGGTGCAGTAGCGGGGGCAGGGGTTCGTTTATGGTCCACGCGAACCGACTGAAAGAGGCTAATTTTGGCAGGTCATACCTTAAAACCAAGGAGGCTCCCTCAACCGAGCGGCCAAGGACAATGCCCCCGGGTTCCCCAAAGGAACAGTCGAAATTATCGCAGGAGAGCCATCCGGATTCACTTGACCAGGACTTTTTCATTGCGCTCGAGGAGTTTGAGCGCGAGTTGTGGGAGCGCAATGGTCTACCGGAGGGGAGAGAGAAGGCGACGACATAGAGGCCTCTGAGCAGCCGCAAAATCAATCTGCCCAGATCCACCCGAATGTTTGGAATTTTAGCTATACTGCCGAATAATAACGCTTGTTAACTGTTTACAGCACGTGAATGTCACGGGCTATCGAGTATGTTCAGAGTGTTTTATTGCATGGCTGTTATATCTAGGGTAAGCTTGTGACCAAACCTGTTCCGGACGATGAGTCAGACTGGGAGTGTTGAGTGTATCGCCCTGTAGACATGAGAAGCCCCATGAGAAGCATGAACGATTGACCGGGAGTGGCGCGAACCTTTGAACTTTTCACGCTCGTATAGAGATTCCAAGTCCGGTGTGTGTGCGCGTGTTGAGTGTGTTGTTTTTGTTTTTTTCTTCCTAAAAAAAAAAGTTTTGACGAATGTGAAGTATGGCGTGCGGTGAGAGGTCACGGCGCCGCCGATGAGACTTTTGAGCCGAACCTGAGTTCTGGAGCATTCTCGCCTGATTGAGTTTCGAATGTTCTACGCGCCGAAGGTTTTACGCTGAAGGTTCCAGAAACCCAAAGGGTACATAACGGACACCGCACGGCAAGCGGAGTCAGTCTCGCTCCAGCGTTTCATACTGCTGTTTTGCCACCATCGACTCTTGCGACGCTAGCCTTTTTCAATTATGTCTTTGGGCACAAGTTCCCCCCATTAAATGTTTAGTTTGCTTCAGCTTTCATGGCCTCATCACTTGTCATTCGTGACACTATCAGCAGACAGTGTGGATCACCAGGATGACCTTTGCGGGATCCGGCAAGAAAATTAAAAAAAAAACATCACCCCCCCCCCCCCCCGCATCTTCCCCCCGACGAGGGAGTCGCCAGTTTTCCTCTGGTCATCCCTTGTCGGCGTGACCCCGGCGCCGGACCCACTAGAGTACAGGGTTTAGAGACTTCGGACATGAGCCGTGGACGTCACATCTCCTGGCCCGTAAGTCATGTGATGTGATGTCTACGAAAACGCGCCAACCAGAGTGCCGAAACTTTCAACTTTACTGTTTCCCTCCAGTGGTGAGGGGGAGGAAGGAAAAAAAGCAGGCTGCCGTCGTTTGACTGCTGAGCTGCTGACCCCCTCCGCAAGCTTTTCGAAAACGCGTTCATCTCTGGGGGTCAAGCACGGGCTACAGCGATTTGGGGGCTCCGAAGAACAGAAGGCTGAGGCCACCTCAAGTTGGGTGACGTCGCTGGTGATGCCTTTGGTGGACGCGGAGGAGGACGGGGACAACGGGAGCGCGCAAACGCGAGGCGACCTTAATTATGGCCCATGCGCGCTTATATTGCGGCTGTTAATCCGTGTTAATCGGATACGCTACGGCACGAATATTGTCGCCGCGCGTTTCGTGGGTTGTTTAGCCATTTGCGGGCCACGAGGTTTTCACGAATGCGCCACGACGGAAGTTACCTTGAGCGACGCGCGCGAGAAGCATCCCCGTACCAGCACCTCGTTTAAGGCACGATAAGTGCCTAAATGTGGAGATGGTATCTTTGAAAGCAGAATAGGCCCGCTTCAAAAGTCCATGAAGCAACACTGGCTGCGTTTACATGAATGCGGCAGTAGCACATCAGGTCGAGCTAGCGTTCTGAATTAGGTACGATATCTTAATTACTACAGTCGCATCCACGTAAGCGCCTCAATTCGGTAGCCAATCGCATCGAATCGAGTCCGATCTGTTCGAGATTTTCAAGCGGAATCAACATCTCCACGTAGACTAGCGATTTGAATCGAATGCGGCCAGGATGACCTTCCAACTTAGCGCTTCTTCGCCCTGTGCTACCATCCAGACCACGTCCGTGCTCGTCCCCGACGCAGCCTCATCTTCCTGTCGTCACAACTATCGGCATATGGGGCAATCGGAAAATATTGATACCGCCAGTGGCAGCAGCCAATCGCATCGAACCGAGTTCGATCCATTTGAGATTCTCAAGCCGAATCGACATCTGCTTGTGGACTATACGATTTGAATCGAATGAGGCCAAAATGACCTTCCAACTTAGCTCCCCTTCGCCCTGTGCTACCGTCCAGACCGGGTCCGTGCTCGTCGCCGATGCACCCTCATCCTGCTGTCGTGGCGACCACCGGCACGATGGGCCAATCGGAAAATATTGATACCGCCAGTGGCAGTAGCAATATTTTGACGCCAATCGCACTGCGAAGCGTGTGACTGGATCCGAGCTGGTACGGACGTAGCACTCGTCTCGAATTTATTTGCACCCGAGTCGCGCCCAACGCTGAGACAGCGCTCGTTTTCAATGGAGGCTCAAGGCTTGTGCCGAAAATATGGCGGCCTCCGAGCAGCTAGCGGAAGGCGTGGACTTTTGGAAAAAGGTTCTTCTTACTAAAGCTAACTCTGAGTCAGCGTCGAAAAAAAGGGAGTGAAGGAAGATGGCCGGCTGCCAAACACCTGCTCCGCACGCTTGGGGAAGACTTCGCCAACAGCGAAAGCTTCGAAAACAACAACACAAAATAAGCTACAAAAAGGGAGGGCGTTCCTAGATACGGCTTCACACGTGCCTGGAAGGCACGTCACCCGCTGCATTTCTCATAAAGCGCAATTATAATAAAAATGCAATTTTCACGCAGTCGAACGGGAAAGCATGACAATATCCCTATCTGATTACCAACTGTCACGACAATATTAAGTTAGAGCTGATGTGATACGAGGGTCCAACAATCGAGGTAAATATATTTGCCACTGCAAATTTGGCTTTCACTGAAACGTAACAACTTCGATCGAGACTTCGCTGTTTTAAAACCGCGCAAATTCTTTATTTCTTTTTACTGAAAGCATTGTAACGATGAAGTGGCATGACCAAGCGCTGAGGCTACTACCACCTTTCCTTCAACAAAACTCTTTTTCGACTTACGGGTAAAAGAACTGGGACCCCCAACATTTAAAAAATCTCCTTAAACGAGAAAAGCGATTCTTTTTGTGGGATTTACGAACGCGGTGTTTATTCTTTGCACCTTCAGGACCTCTAGAACAGGTACGGTTCTGGGCGGAGCTTAGCTACTTTCGGAACACGAAGGAAACATAGCGAAGATATCACGCAGCGGACAACGTTCTGTTAACGTGTTGCTTTGTCTCAAAGCAACACGTTCCGAAAGAGCTTAGCTACTTTCGGAACACGAAGGAAACATAGCGAAGATATCACTCAGCGGACAACGTTCTGTTAACGTGTTGCTTTGTCTCAAAGCAAAATCTCAAAATGTTAGACAAATATGTGCAGCTTCTATTCGGGGGGATCGGTGGCCGAGTGGTCTAGCGCACACCAGCTCGGAGCACGTGGAGCGAAAGCTCGCGCTGCAGAACCCAGGGATCCTAGGTTCGAGCCCCACCCCTGCCCGTTTCGATCTGGATGAGCATCGTACCGGCGTGCGGTCGTGTATCACTACTGCGTGATGCACGTTAAAGACCCCAGGCTAGCGGTTGTACCGCACTGGCTAAATTTCTCATCTACAGCTGGGAGACTCGTCGCCCCTGTGAGGCAGACCAAGTTCTAGGCTGTATAAACACACACACAACCAATTTTTTTTTTATTCGTGGGCACTACTTCGCTGGCCGGTATATCGGATGGCGTAGTGCGTGGAAAGGGCGATGAGAAGCGACTAGGTTTTTTGTTGTTGTTGTTGTTTTTTTAGAATGGTCTTTTACGTTGGAATAGCTCGCGTTGGTCTATGTTCGCATTGGTCTATACCCACATTAGCCTATGATCGCACTGGGTTATGCTCACGTTGGTTTATTCTCACATTTGGGTCTACTCACATTTGGCTGTGCAAAACAAAATCATCACATCATCCAGACGGTTACTTTGTTAAGCCTTTCCAAACTCACTAATTACCTACATCTTGGATGTTCAGACTTGAAAAAAAAACGATTTAACCAATCAAGTAATTAGCTTTGAATAAGTGCCAAGAAAACGTCCGGGAACAGCTACGTGCAGAGCTTGCTCTTGTTTCTTTCCCCTAAGGTACCGAGCGCCGAGAAAACCGAAGAAATGCTCGAACCCTTTTTAAATAACAATCTGTTTCATTGCATTTACAGGGCTAACATCGTAGATTTTGAATTCCTGGCACATGGCCTCGGTGACATAACCTGACATTGTGCCGTCATGTGACTCCATAACGTCATGTGACAGTTATTCACAGAATCCTCTCAGTGTGCCTCTGCACCCGCAAAAGGAAAAGCGCGAAGAGGAATCTGCCGCATTTCGAAGTCTTTTGGGAAAGAGATACCCATTTCTTTTCTTCTTTTTCTTTTTTTGTAGGGCTGCATGGCCTTCCCAAACGGTCGGGGAAGATCCAGGACCTGTCCCGGTTTGACGCGCAGTTCTTCGGCGTGCACCCGAAGCAGGCGCACGTGATGGATCCGCAGCTGCGCCTGTTCCTCGAGACGTCCTACGAGGCGATCGTGGATGCCGGCTACGACCCGGGCACTCTGCGGGGAAGCAAAATCGGAGTCTTCATGGGCAGCAGCGATTCCGAGAGCTTCGAGACCTTCAGTGTGGACACAAACAAGATCGATGGCTGCGCCCTGGTTGGCTGCTGCCGGGCCATGTTCTCCAACCACGTCTCCTATTCGCTTGACTTCAATGGTGAGCGACTTCCTCGCGGAGTAGAACCACGGCACAATCCCCGGCCCTATCGGCCTATTTGAAGGTCTCGCTATGTTTTGCTCTATTGGATGGATTCCGAGAGTGGGAGGGGGTCCCTCGGCGGCAATTCTTTTCAATAGAAGATCCGCAAAGTTGCAAAGCTTAACTTCCGGGGCCGTTCTTCAAACAGAAAGTTGGTGGCGAAGTCCAACCGGCGGGCTCCGTGAACTTTCGACTTCAACGAGTTTAGAGAGACTCGGTAACGTTGCGGTCTCCGACCTGGGGAAGGCTTGACGGGCGGCGTTGCCTGGATGATTTCCCAGGGCCGAGCTTCACTGTGGACTCGGCCTGTTCGTCGGCCATGACGGCGCTCAACCAGGCCATGCTGGCGCTGCGCTCGGGGCAGTGCGAGGCGGCCCTGGTCGGGGGCAGCACGCTCACCATCAAGCCCGCCATGGCACTCAACTTCAACCGCCTCGGCACGCTGTCACCAGACGGCAAGTGCAAGACCTTCGACGCCGACGGTGAGACCGCTTTCTGTCGGGACTTGATTTCGGAAACCCGTTTTTACGTTTGCCGGTCTCTAGTGAGGGACGGTGTGTCTTTGGAACAGCCGGCCCCTATAGCGCGCGCTCCATGAAATCTTCACTGTGCTTTGGCTGCACGCATGCACTTGAGGTGAGCAAGGCACTACCAAGTCTTCTCGAAGGTAGGGTGCTCGCGCAAGAAACAGTGAAGAATACACAATCAGGTCTGTGCATGTGGGTGTTTCGGCAAGGGGAACACAGTACAGGGGGACAATTGTCACGATAAGTCAAATAATCAGCAAAAATTTGTTGGCAGTGAAAATAGACAAAATAGGAAATAGACGAAAACCACCAAAAAGACAAATGTTATATACACTTTGAGCGCGTGGGAAGCGCAGCAGTGCACTTAAGCTATCACTGGCGGAACAGGCGCGAGGCGAGGGTGAGAAAACCCGGAGAAGAGACGGGTACGTTATCGAGTGGGTAGCCTTGCGCCTGCTGCATGAGTGGTAGGTAACTCTAGCGCTCCACCGTGCCTCCCACATATGCTCCTCCCTGTATTTGTTAAATTGACTGACTTGGTTTTCTAAGACGCTCGGCAAGTCTCTAATTTAAACAACGTGGTTCTTTTTATAATCAAACTATTAATTGGCATATTTCAGTCGACTGATCGTGACGCCTTCTAGAGTATGTCTCCCTGGCCGTATAACTCAACCGCATAAACTGCATTAGTGGCGAGACAATTGAAGGTCGTCCCTGTCGATCTCAAACCTCACCTTCTCAGGGATTTGTTAGGAGTTCCTGCCTCTACGCGGTGTTCGTAATCGACCGTTCTTTACTAGCTACTGCGTCGATTATCCGATCGATTATCCGACCATATTCAGAGCGTGGACTTTGAGCCTGCATTGGGTACCCTAGCGCTGAGTCACCCCTCGGCGTTAACTCGGATCTAGTCGCACACTTCGCGCAGGTAGCAGTGCCCCGAAAAGTATATCGGCCGCCGGTGTTCCTAACTTTTGGCAAGGATTCTTACGGGGAGACATCTGAACATGAAGTTTGTCCTAGAAAGGGAGACACCAGAAAGCTTGCGTTAGCTTGGAACATGTCATTAGATTCGATTTTGTTGTCACTCAGTTCTGGACCTTTTTTATAATAATAATAATAATAAATACCTTTAATTTCTATCTATTATGATGGTTGAGTCGATGAAAGAAGCTGTAGTGTAACGGTTGACAATCCTTGGGCCCCTACAGTGGCCTACAGCGAGCGGAGAAAACGCAAAAACAGCAACGTACACACTAGAACGAGTTAAGGTTAAAAAAAAAGAAAAGATCATACGACTTGAAAAACTTGCAAACTAGACAAGATCGTATGCCTCGAAAAATAATTTACGCAAAGACAACGTTGAGTTTTTAAGCGTTTAGACTGTCTGCACCCCGACTATTTATCCGGAGATTATTTATTAAATGCGGTGGAACTTCGCAGTTGCTATTGATGGGTTTCCGAGTGCTTTTGGAACTCTCGACGGCCCTTCGGGAAACGAGAGCAAACCCTTCGGTAGATGTTCGGGCGTGCCTCAAAAGAGCCGGGTCGGAGCTCCGTGCGCCGTGTTCTCCTCCCAGGGAAGGGCTACGTGAGGAGCGAGGCCGTGGGCGTGTTCTTCGTCCAGCGAGTCTCGGAGGCACGCCGCATCTACGCCAAGCTGGTGCACGTCAAAGCCAACGTCGACGGCTTCAAGGTTGAAGGTGAGCACGGACCCCGAAAGAACTCTGTTGTGTAGGGGACACACTGGCGGCTACTGCATGTCGGTCGTGTACTCGGCCAATACCGCCTAAAAGACGCTTTCCGCCTCAAACGTCATCACATCCACGCGGCGCCGTCCAGATGGCGTCAGCGTCGCCGCCAGCGCGACGCTAGCACAAGGCCGACGCCAATGTGGACGCGCGCGCCGCTTTGCAGCGACTCTCGTCGAGGCTCAGCGCGCTTGCCGCATAGGGCGGGTCCACTAACAGTGACGTCTTTCACGGGCCACGGGCCTTGTCTTCCAGCTGGCGCTGACTCAGCCCGCAGCAGGACGCTCCTGCACGCGCCCCCTACCCTGTGTAGACCCGCGTAGGCGAGTGGACGAAGACGTCCAAGAGACATCTTCGTCCAGACGCCGCCGGTGCTTCTTCACCCGTAGACGCCTCTTACAGGGTGTGCTTCCCTAAAAATGTCAGGAGAAAGTGTTTCTTTTCTTTTTTTACTGCAAAAACGTATTGCGCATCGCCGAACGCTCATTCTCCGGCCCAATGCAGCACGAACGGTCCAACCCAGACGCCCACGTTTCAGAACTAACCATTGTTAAACATTTCGACAAAAACCCCGAGACTGGGACAAAAAGGGACGGACAAACACAAAGTCTTTTGAGACTTTGTGTTTGTCCGTCCCTTTTTGTCCCAGTCTCGGGGTTTTTGTCGAAATGTTTAACCACCACCAGCTCGTTTGCGCCCTTACCTTTTGTTCACTAACCATTGTCTCGTTACAAAAGTATGCGATTATCTTAAGCATTTCATGGGAATATGGGGCCCGTTTTGGCCCGTTTTCAGCAACTGGCATCGCTCAGTTTCATGTATTCGGGAGCTCCGTTCGTCGGTCGCCAATTCCCAATTGAAAAGTTAAGATCGTCAATAAATAATATAAAGATGAGTTCTGAAAGTTTGGCACCTGAATCGGACCGATAGCGCTACATTTGGGCTTCCGGCGATTCACAGTTTTTGGTGATAATAAAGCCCGTAATGCTGGGGGGGGGGGGGGGGACACCTCGTAGGATGGAGTCTATTTGAGACGTTTTCTTTGCACCTGACATGATTGCCGTCAGCACTCCGGCCACCACCAGAGACGATGGGACAGAGGAACTCCTATCTGACCGATATTCGTTTTTGTGTGTCCCAGACGTCGATATTCTCCCTCTACAAGATGATAGAAGAGCCCCCCGTCACTCGAAATTCTTACCCCCCCCCCCCCCCCCCCAAAAAAAAAGGTAGCATTCTCTCTCTTCCGTTGGGGGTCCAAATGGGGGATGTGACTTTAGCGCAATGTTAGTATACAGCTTTCCCCGAAAGCATTTAGTTTTACACTACGCATCGCGAAACGCTCCGCCTACATGTCACGATTTGGTCTAGAGTCCAGAGTTTAAGAACGAGCTGGTATCTTAAAACGTGTTTGTGATTTACTAAAACATTCAATGAGAAAATGGGGCCTGTTCCCGGTAGTTGACACAATTCACCTCTGTGTATTCGTGTCCACACTTTCCCATTGAAAGTTTCTGTAAATCACATGGAACTTTTGAATACGATAACGGTCAGTTCGGAAATTTTGTTATCTGATCCTGACGGTTAGAGCTACATTTGGGTAGAGACGTACTCGAGGCTGGTTCACACGCTTGCGACTGCCTACGACTGAGTGCGTTACGACATCTTGTGATCTCTTACGACGAAAGAAAACCCATGGCTCCATCTATCGAATATCCGTGGAAGACTCGAGATTTCGGTATGTTTACTATCTCTTTCACGCATCGTTCTTTCGCGATTCGGCTCGTAAATACTTGCGACAATGAACGACCGTTTCTCATAAAAAGTACGTACATTCGATCTCGCAAATGCTGCAAGACGCTCGCTCTGGTAGTATGCAATTCTAGGGCCGCCTCCCTGAGAATAACTAGAATAAATAAAGATAATTATTAACTCGGCTTTTGAGGTCAGATCAGTGAACCTGGCATAACGCACGATCTCACCCCACCACCCTATCCAACCTTCCATCTCTTCTCCGGGTAAGATGGCTCTATAATGAAGCTATCTTGGTTGTTCTTTCCTCTCAATAAACATATTCTACTACTACTAGATATCACTAAGAAACGGTGGTATTGCAATGGGTTGTCGGCAGTAGCGGTTGCGTGAACCTGCCTTGAGCGTGTGGCAATGCATAATCTGCTTTTGCAGTGGAAATAAAAAAAAAATATTAGCAAGCGTGAACATGCTTTCAAAGACTGGTAAGCTCAGAATGTGTGACAAGCCCTCTACCGACTGATAAGCCTCTGGAAAAGGCTCTTCCCGCTACTTTCGCAGACCCTTGCGTTCTCGATAAGCTCGCATACGTTCTGCTGCCTTTACGTGCTTAGAGGGCCACGGTGTCTCGCCACGGAGCAAGTGTGTCCCCGAAGATTCGCTCCCATTTCCGACAAACGCCCCGATATGCCGCACCACAACCGGAATTGGAGGAACAGTCCTTATTCGCGAAGGTCTTGGCTTCTCGTGCAAGAGGAAGTGCCGTCTCGCGATAGTTTAGCCAAAAGTGTTGGTGACGTATTTTTATGCTGCGACGGTTGTTTTTTTTTTTTTCAAAAAATACTCGGGCAATAAAAATAAAAAGACCGAATTTAGTTCAGTTGGTAAAGCACTTGAATCACAATTTCAAGGTTTTGTGTTCAAATTCTGCCGAAAACTTTTCTCAGGTCTTTTATATGGTTTCCTATGGGCATAGAAGCGCCTTTCGCTGTCGGTTCTCCGTTAAAGCCCGTTCACACACTTGCAACTGAGTAGGACCGACTAAGACAAGAATAAATTTTAAGCCTCTTGCGACGGCTTAGGAACGGATGCGCTGCTGCGGAGCAGGCCCTGAGCCGTGGCAACAGGCTTAAAACCGGTCTTGTATCAGCCGGTCCTACTCAGTTGCAGGTGTGTGAACGGACCTTTGCAGCCAAATGTTACCAATCTCCATGGAAATCGTGTCCATAAAACATATTTCCTGCCAAAAGAAGAGCAGTGTTTAGTGGGTTAACGCCCTTTACTTGGAGTGCAGAGGGGTAATTCTTCCCTCGTTGCAGGCGTCACGTTTCCCTCGGGCCGTGCCCAGGAGGCGCTCCTTCGGGGCGTGTACGAGGAGGCCCGGGTGGACCCCCTCTCGGTGTCGTACCTTGAGACGCACGGCACCGGCACCAAGGTGGGTGATCCTCAGGAGTTGAGTGGCATCAGCAACGTCTTCTGCGGCGAGGGACGCAAGGAGCCGCTCCTCATCGGCTCCGTCAAGTCCAACATGGGCCACTCCGAGTGCGCCGCCGGTGAGCGCCCCTCCTGCCGCTGGACGGGCTCCAGTGTTGCCAACCTCCTCAGTCGTTCCTTCCCCGAATTTTATCGAAAATTTCCCTAGATTTCACTAGAATTTGAGAAAACATGGTAATTTGCGCCAATATTTAGATTATCGTTATGGAGTAGCTTAAGAATTGATTCCTGCAGTTGGGTGGCCATTTAAAGGTTAAGTGTGCGTCGTTAATACCTTTTTACATAACCAAACTTTGTTACTTTGGCCTTGTGTGCCCCCCCCCCCCCTTTCAATATCGCTGTTGTTACCACTGGAAATCATCTCCGGCCAAGACAATAGGGAGTTTTAGTAGATCGTTTCCAAAGGCCCGCTGCCGCTACGGGCGCGCGATTCAGAGCGTGTATCGAAGTGACAGCGCGAGCTCCCGCTACAGATGGCGTGGCCTGAAAACCCGATCTACTAAAACTCTCTTTTATAGACCTTTCCAGAAAAGGGCTGCTGGCCGGTTTCATTTTCAGTGTTCGTGCGTATCGCGCGTGATTTGCTCGCTTTCCGAAGCGACGCACACGCGCGTGCTGAGCTGTGGAGATCGCACGCTGAGCTGTGGATTTGTAAACATTGGAAAGGTCTATACAATGAAGCCCTTTTCCTGCTGCACTCGGCCGGCACGAGGAGGAAGAAGGGAAGGGACGCGTCTCTAAAGCCATCTTATACCCATTAAAAAACAATCCCTAGATTTCAACAAATTTTTCTTTCCTCCTAAACGCTGACGGAAATTCCTACATCTAGGGGAAAATCTCTAATGATGAATTTCGCTCGGAGATCTCGAGCGCTCCAAAAGCGCTCCATTTGGAGCGCGCATATTCCACTGGCAGATCTGGCTCGAGTTGGTCATCTTCCGCTCGTAGATCTCTCGCAGCGCCCGCTCCACGGAGCGCCTCAAACCCCGCCGAACTTGCTCTGCGGGATTTCACAGATCTTTCCGGAAGTACAGAGCGCTCTACGTCATTTCCTCCTAAATCGGCAGTGCGCATGCGCGGCGAGGTTGGCGGGATCGGTGGGTCAGTGGGCCACGGTCGGGTCGTCGAGTTGGATCTGTTCGGGTGCGTCGGTTGTTTACGTGCAATGGTGACGGCTCGAACGCTTCTACCTCACGTAGACTAGGGATATAAAGCCGGGACTGTGGAGTGTGGTAAATCCTAAGCGCTGACAACTGTGATCGTGAGGGAAGAACGACAGAAAAGCCGGAGGCACGCGCAAGGTTAGGCCTGTTCATTCTGCAGCCAATGATTGCTTACCTTTTTACACTGCATTCCGCTGGCGTTTTCCCGTGTAATAAAGCAAGAAGAGATTATGCAACAACCGTGCAAGTGATGGTTTCTTACCTCTGTGTTTATTAAAGTCGTACCAGAAATCTGAACTCCACCGATGGCAATCGCTGTTCGTGTCCCGCCACTTCAAGGCGGCCGAAAGGTATGTGACGGTGCCGAACGCGGATGTATTTGTTATTTGTGACATGGGTGCCGCGGAACGTATACTTTCGTTCGGTCTGTATTGCGTGTTATTTCTGCAGTTAAGCAGTGACAGTTGTCACTGGTCATCGAAAAAATCAGTCGGCTGAGGCGTTGGTGGGCTTGTCAAGTTCGAGCAGCGGCCATTTTGAAGAACGGAGGGGGAAGCAGGGGGGGGGGGGGGGGAATGGTGTGGGAGAGGTCACTCCAAAAATGCGAGTTTATCTCCCTTCGTGAATTGAGAGCAGTGTTTGACGAAATACTCGATAAAAGTATTTAAGTTGAGTTACTATATACCTGCTTCATAAAGCATTTGAAATACTACTCATGTTACTCTCACTGTGAAGTATCTTGAGTAGAATACAAATACTTAGAAATGTAATTCAAGTACTTTTGAAAATACTTCCGCAATACGTATTTTGTATCGACATTAGTTGCAACGACAATTATACAGTTGCGCAAATTTGGTTTACCAGAATGGTTTATTAGCGCACAACAACACAAAACGGCAAAAAAAATTGTGGGGCTATTTTATGCAGTCCAACTATATGGAGCAGAATATTGTCCCAAATGAGAAATGATCAGGCGGCGAATGACTGAAGAAACTAAACGTTTAATGGGGCCAACTTGTGCCCAAAACAAAATAGGAAAAGGCTAGCGTCGCAGGCGACGATGTCGACGAAACAGCAAGATCGAGCGCTAAGACAAGACTGACTCCAAACCCTCTTTTGTAAGAGGATTTTTCGGGGGAAACTCTAGAAAACAAAAGGCGGCTTTGGGAAGACGAAAGAAACCCCCCCCCCCCCCTCGCCAAAAAAAAATTCGCTGGCTTTTGTATGATTATACAGCCTTGATGATAGTACACCTCAACGGGTAATCGGTCTCTTAGCTGTAGATGGGAAATTTAGCCAGTGCAGTACAACCGCTCACCTGGGGTTTTTAAAGTGCATCACGCAGTAGTGATTCCTCAAACGCGTGCCGGTACGAACCTCATGCAGATCGAAACGGGCGGGGGTGGCGGGGACCGAACCCAGGAGGTTCTTAGCGCAAGCTTTCGCTACCGCCAAGCGGAGCACCTTTGTTCACGCGTGGGTTTCTGGAACATTCGGCCTAGAACGTTCCCCGCGTACAACATTCCTAACTCGACCACAGTACAAGGATTTCGAATTTACGAGAATGTCAAGTTGAAATAATAAATATAAGAGGAGTCCGTTCTCTGGAATCGAACCCGGAGGCGGCTCCGCGCGAGAGCCAAACGCGGTAACCATTCAGCCACGCGCTCCCTAAGCGACGCGAGTGGCAATATCACCGATACATGTTTCAAAACATTTCTGGGATAGAAATGAAGAGGTCGCTTTAGCTATAGTGACATCGCTGAATATCACGTCCTACGGCGCACCTTAGACGCATCGTTTAAATACAATCTATATTCCATATATGGGGAGTTCACTATAAATGAACTTTGGATACGGGTATGAGTAAATGGATACCAAAGAGAACCCACATAATAGCCACGGCAGTGGTCGGACCTTCTTTAAGTAGGTTGTGTTCAGAAAGGCACTCAGCGTTGGGGGACGCTTTGCTGGGATTTTGAGAGGTCGTCCAGGTTTTAGTTCGTTTCCTGTCTTGTTCTCTGCTTTTCGATGTTCGCTTACAGTGTTCGCGACAGCAATGAGTGACGGACTGACGACAAAAATAAAATAAACAAAAAGAAAGCCTAGACCTTATGCAGGAGCGAGGCCAAATATACAAGCAAAAAATAATGTTTTTTTTTGTGTGTGTGTGCCCACTTTATAATATTTTTTGTTTGTTATTTTCTTGACACTCAAGTCTGCGTTGTTGTCGCAGGTCGTCTCCCGGTCTGCGTAGCGCCTCAGAGGGGCAATCCTTAGTTCCGTAAAACCACCTCTTTTGTATGAGGATTTTTCGGGGGAAACTCTAGAAAACAAAAGGCGGCTTAGGGAAGACGAGGGGAAAACCTTCATTGTACGAACTTTGGGCTGAAATGTGAAAGCGATGTTTTTTTCACGAGCTCTACCAAAGTCACCGTAGCTAAGCGAAGCTGGCTACATGATTTGGTTGCTCGAAAGAATGTTCACGTTCGCTCGTACCACGCCCACGCCACTTCATATGGAAAATCTAGGAAAATGCCGGAATGTCAATAATGTATTTCAGATAATGAGTACAAGATTCTTAGAATTGTCATTAAGGTAGAGTATCAAGTACTCTCGATCAAAAGTATTTGCAAGATACCAAGATATTTCAAAAAGTATTTGAGATACCGTATCTTGAGTAGAGTATTTGAGATAGGCACAAGTCTGATTCGGAGCGGGTACCACGGAGCGGAATTTCGCCTCCCTCGCGGATTTTGGAAATCACTCCGGATCTACGATGGAATTCACCATAAGGTTGGCAGCACTGCGGCTGCCCGATCCGGAACAACCGTTTAAAGATCAGTTGACAAGCTCCACTGAAGAGCGACGTTCGAAGGCGGTTCTTCTATGTCGCCCGCACGCGAGCAGATACGGGCGTCTAGCAATTCTATTGCTACCACACCTACAGGTGACGGCCAGAGAAGAACGGTTTTCGTACGACCATCAATCTATGCAAAGTAGGTTCATCATACAAAATACAAGAAAATCGATTTTCACAATGTTCACAAGGCAATGATCATTCAACGCAGTCTTGGGTTGTATCGCAATACTGCAACTTGTTGCATTTTTTTACATTTTTCACTGTGACTCGATGATGACCTTTCCCAACGAATTCCGAAGTGAGCCCCTTTCCCTTTTTGCCTGGTAGCGTCACGTCCGCTCCAGGTTCAGTTGCCGTTCTAGGTGTGCCTCTCTCTCAGATTTCAGGTCACTGTTTGCTGCATGTGAAGAAAAGTGTGTTCTAGTCGCTATTCATGGTAACTGTCATGACATAGTTAGCAAAGAATGAGGGATGCGGCTACTGTCACATGCAAAGCTTGACTGCTAACTGCCAATGTTTTCGTTTTTCTATCGCTCAATTAGTAATAGGCAACTTTCAAAATGTTTGCAGCCTGGTGCTCAAAAAAAAAAAAAGCTGCCTTTTTTATCTCACCTCCATAAGTGGATCGCTAGCCCAGATGAACCGCACGGGTACTGACCATACCAGCGTCTGCAATCCTACAAGATAAGTGGGATGTCGAAAAAAGAGCAACCAGATCTTTGGTCGCCAAGGGTTAACGTTAACCAACTTACTCGCACTTCATTCTCAGACTTCGTAATAATTGGGAACAATTTGAAGTAGTGTTGAGAATGAGCTCAAAACAGCTCTGCCTGGAAGGCTAGCCGAAACTGGTGTCTTGTCAGCTTCCCTCTCACTTTATGAAGCTTGCTAAGGCAATTCTGAGGCAGACGCAAACAAATGCGACACTACTGGTGTGGTCAGGCCAGCCAGTTGCAGATCACATCATCGACAAATGGCTAAACGCTTGCATTTTATGGCAATAAGCAGATTTTTTAACTGAATATAGGGCCTGCTGTGTTTTTTTTTTCTTTCATCAAACATTCACGCATTTGCACAGCTGAACAAGGCGCCAACGACTACTGCATTGGCTTTGACAATACATGTCTCATTTAGATTTATACTAATGCGTGGCAGGGGCACGAGTGAATCTCAGGCCCCTCAAAACAACATCAACTGGTCCCTTGGCACTTTGACATCTGCCTATGTCAATCAGGCGAGAAGTGCCAGGTGTGTACGCCGGCTAGTAAAACTAGCTGAAAAAAGTGGGATTTGTGAGTTCTGCACCTTCTCCCACCCACACCTCAAGAGTATGGTCACTTTACTTATGTATGAGGTCATCGGGTAGTTGTATAAGCACCACCCGAAGCACCGCCAGGAACAAGCATTATTAAAAGCAAGTGCTCAGTAATGTTTGCAATGCTGAATAGTTATGACCTGTCATCTAACCTGTCAATGCTGAAGGTTTGTCCTTAGCTTAGCAGAAGGAGGTGTAACAGGCACTGAAGGTGTTATGAGTTCTGCAAAGTCAAAAATATGTCACGAGCCAAATCATAATTAAAAGTGCCTGTTTGTGCTCCTGAACCGTAGCCTGCAAACTGACATGCCAGATTGTGCTCTTACCTGGTGTTTCTAGCGTTTGTGAGGCCCCGCCGAAAGCTGTCTCACTGCACAGCTTAAACAATAATCAGCCTATTGAACAATAATGCATCATCAGGCACATGAAGAGTGCATCAGCAAAGAAGTGAACCTTTACTAGGCATACCAAAACTCACAGGAAATTGCTTAGGACTGCAGTCTTCTTGAGCCGTTTATTTTCTTTCCATGTGCATTCTTCAAAATGGTCAGCCATGAAATAATCCTAAATGCAACAAAATATAAGAGGTCATACCAAATAACCATTACACACAACCAGTAACAAATATTCCTATGATACTGAGCTCTGCGCCAGCTTTGGTGGGCAATTTCTCAGAACACGAGATTAACCGTTGCCTTGCGAGAGTTGTGTTCCAGTGTACATAAATGCCTTTAGAGCCTCGTTGAGGATAGCACGAACACAGAGTCGAGAGCAAAGTCGAAACGTTCGTTGACGGAAACAAAACTTCAGAATCGTGGTTATTCGCCATGAATCACGTTAAAATGCAGGTACCGCGAAAAATGAGTGATCATGAGTTTTATGTCGGCTGTAAGACGGGCAACCCTCCGGAACGGGTAGTCGCTTACTTCTGCCCAAAAGCCTACCTGAAGTTGTTAAAAGCCGCCTTTCTCTCAAATGAAAACTGAAGGACGGCATTTTTAGAAAATAAATGACCTCATTTTACATAACCTGGCCCTTTTCGGCGCCGGCCTGTCTTTGCCGATGCGTAATAGCTACAGAAGTTGTTGTCGGATCGGCAGGCCAAACGGAATAGAAAAAAAATATATTTTCCTTTTCCATTTTTGGAGCGGTTTCTACAACCGGGCGCGGTGCACCCAGTCATGCTGCGACTGCAACACTTCAGACAGCAGCTATAGATACAGCGCACATAATCTAAAGGCTCCATGAAGGATGAAGGATCAAACAGCGGACAGCGTGACCAAGAAGTCCTGTTGAGCGTGACAGAATGCGCCAACGAACTGGCTAACGGCTCGGTTGCGGGTAGCGGCTAACGGATTCGCAAGCGGCCTTAGCGGTGACTTTTCTGCACGACATTTGATCTGGCTCCTCAAGTGATCGGATCCCGGCGAATAGCGGCGCGGCGGCACGTGGAAAACAGACGCGCAACTCTGGCTCCTCTAGGGAGCGTATAGAGGAACTCCAAGCTTTATTTATCGCAAGCGCCATCTGAGGGGAAGGGCTTTGGCGGATTTGGGCGTAATTTTCCTATGCTCGAAGTACAATACTGAGTATTATACTGCTTTCTACTTTTTTTTTTCTTAAACAGACAGTTAAACTTCTGTCTCTTTCAAAGCAATGGATGAAAGTTCTAGGAGTAAGGAATTTCGGTCGTGGCGGTATTCTTTACAAGAAGGAACGGGAAAAGCTACGTCGCTTCCATCACTTATAAATCCGCGGGTATAAATAAGGGTCTCACTAGTTAGCGTTACGTATTAGCGAATGGTTGGACGTGCCATGATAGTGACCCTGGCGTCATCTCGCAGGCGTCTGCTCGTTGGCCAAGGTGATTCTGTCCATGGAGACCGGCACCATTCCGGGCAACCTGCACTTCAACGAGCCAAACCCAGGAATCCCGTCGCTGAACGATGGCAGCATTCGGGTGGTGGACCGCCACACACCCCTCCCGGGAGGCCTGGTCGCGATCGACTCTTTTGGCATTGGAGGCGCCAACGTACACACCATCCTGGAGGCCAACCCGGGCCCCCACGTGGACTGCTTCCCCCGGGAGAAGCCCCAACTGCCCCGGCTGGTGCTGCTCGCCGGGAGGACCCAGGAGTCGCTCACGGTGAGGTTTTCTGGCGTCCTGTCTTTGGGGAGGGATTTTGGGGTGTCTTGGGCTACGACGCGGGGTGTCTACCGACCTAGGTAACGTGAGAAACTTCAAGTCAGTGGCGTCGCCAGAAAGTATTCTCGACGGAAGAGCTTGTATTCGGCAAATCGTAAGTACTGACGTTGGTGATCCTAAGGAAGAATGAGAGAGTGAGCGAAAAAAAAAGGAAAGAAAGAAAGCGGACGATATGTTAGGTGTTTCGTTTTGCCACGATGGCTTAAAGTTATTCGAGTGCTCGTCAGTGCCATTTATTTTTCCGCAGTGCACAACTGTTTTTATCCAAAACAAAGATCTGAAACAGCTAGGTGCAGACCTTTGAAGTGACGCTGTGCTGGTTTCTTTTGTATATTAAAACGTTGCCAGTGATATGGTTCTATCGGGACCGCCGATGTCCACGTCTGTGATTCCCAAGTGGCCAGATTCCCGAGAGCTTTTGCTCTAGATTATTGTGAGCTCTGGTGCCAAGGGCTCTTGCATGGACGAGAATGCTCACGGCAGGTCCGTGTCCCCTCGTAGGCCACCCTGGACCGGCTGGAAGCGGACGGACCACTGCCGGACCCAGCCTACGCCCTGCTCAACCGGGTCGGGCAGCCCAGCGTCAGTCAGTTCCCGTTCCGCGGCTACTCCGTGGTGGCCGTGGACGGCTCCCCCAAGCCCATCAAGGGGATCGAGGTCGGTACCAGCCTTCTTCCAGTCTAGGTGGCTCAGGCACCATAGCCCCTGCGTTGTTGCGTTGAGGGCGGCGTTCTTCAACGGGCATGTCTATCGCAGTTTCCGCAAGATTGGGGCTAGCTTCGAACTTGCAATCTACTACCAGAGAATTTTGTGTGAATAGAGCTTAATCTCGAGCTGCAATTATTTTTCCTTGGAATTAGGTTGCCATAAGTTGCGCTTCTGTAAAAATAAAGGCACGCATGAGGCATGTGCACGAGGCCCGTTCAAAAGGCGAGTATGCAAGGCATGTGCGAGATGTGCTCAAGGCCTGTATAAAACCTAGCTGTGCAATAAATGTGCATGTACAAGGCATGTGCCAGGAATGCCAAAAGCCATTTGAAAGGTACATATCTGCAAGGGCTTCGTCAAAGGCTTCCGTTTTACTGTGGTAGCTGTTAGTGCCCATTTCCGGCAAAAAGTTCTCGTATTCGAACGCAAAAACCCGCTCTACACCAGAGGCACAACTCACAAAAGGCAAGGCTCCTTCTCGCCACCCCCCCCCCCCCCGGTCCCTCCCCCTCCTCCCACAATGCCCTCTCTTTCTCCCCCATCCCCCTCCTCCCTCTAGCAGCTTCTGTTCCGAAATACCCACGAGGTCGCGCTGTCATAGACACGCTCCCTCTCTTCCCCACTGCCGCCACCCAGGTTCCGTTCTCGCGTCTTTCCGCCCCTCTTCGGAACAGTTTCCATACATATTTTCACTCTTTCCACCGCAGGTTCAACCACGGGCGCCCCCGTTCTGAAAGAACGTTTCAGCCACACACAAGAAAAGCACGTCTCCGTGTCCTCCAACACATGCAACATCTCGCGCAATTGTTCTATTAAAGAACACATCTCCTCACACAAGTCTCCTCTGTCAGTTCCGCTGAAAGCAAAGACCCATGGCAAACATATGATACAGCACACTAGCTGAAGGCGAATCTTCTCCAACGTGCCTTTCCATAACGCTGCAGCTACCCCTCACAATCGCAGCACAAATTGTGTGGTCGTTAGCCATTTCTTTTTGTCCACTACCGCACCCGAGCTGCATGTGCGTCCTGACCGTTGCCTTTTTGTCCCACGGTACAGCGTGCCCCGTCTAAGAAGCGGCCGCTGTGGTTTGTCTTCACGGGGCTGGGCTGTCAGTGGAACGGCATGGCCCGCCAGATGATGCAGTTCGACGTGTTTGCCGACTCCATCCGCCGCTCCCACGAGCTCCTTGTACCCTTCGGCATCGACCTCGTAGAGCTGATCACCAGCGACAACGCCAAAAACCGGACGATGGTTTATTCCTCTGTCTCCGTCGCCGCCGTGCAGGTGAGCCGCGGTGGAGAACCCAAATTTAAGAGGGAGCTTGGGAGGTTTTTTTGTAGCGACCCAAATTGAGCACATTTTCGAAATACCCAGGTTTTACTCTTTCCAGCGCGTGCTATTTATTTATTCTAAATTCGAAATGGCTATTGAGAATGTGACGAATGAAGGTGATGTTAAATTCAACATTCGAATTTCGCCCCATTGTCCAGGGGGGGCATCGACGGTTTCGTTCGATTTTTATTTTACACTTTTCTGCACCGGTGCAGGGTGGTGCGGATAAATGGAACCAGCACACCATGTGCCCCAGTGTTTTCGCATGTTTTTGTTTGTTTTGCTGGCATGAGCTTATAAGCAGCATTCGTTTCACATCACCAAAATCATTGTACCATGTTCGGAACAATTGCTCTACTGCCCTCATATTGTCCCATGTTACAACATCTAACATCAGCTTTTGTGTCTTGCTTCCGGATCAAAATTGATTCTTTGACATCTTCGAAAAAAAAAAATATTGTAAATACCCGAGTGCTTCTAAGGCAACTCTTTTTGATAAAAAAAAGCAACAACAAGATACACCAACTGTTTAGGGAAGAAATATTTTTAATAAGAACGCATTAACTATACCATGGAGTGGAGCCGGCGTTGTTCTAAACCACGAAAAACGGCAAAGTAATTCCCTCTGCGGAATTACTCTTAAAATGGCTGCGATACAAGTGACCATGCCAATGCTTTTGTGCAAAATAAAGCTATAGCACTAGAAGCGGATCTTGCAAATGGTGTATTGTTGCTGCTTCGTGTACAGTACAGCATCGCCAGCAATATGGGCCCGCTGCGACCACCGACGTCCGCGTCTGTGCCCCTCCGTTCCGAAGCGATTAAAATATGTGGGACCTTTTCCTGTAGACACTTATATGTTACCTATGTGAGTCGCACGCGTCTGTTTTCAGTCTTCTCGGGCGTGGTTGGCAGGGCGTGGGACGTTGCGCTTTCCTGTAGGTGGCGCTGGTGTCCATGCTGAAGGCGGCGGGTGTGGAGCCGGACGGCTTTGTGGGTCACTCGTTGGGAGAGATCGGCTGCGCCTTTGCTGACGGAGGCTTCACGGCCAAGCAGGCGGTGCTGTGCGCCTACTTGAGGGGGCGCTGCTCGAAGCTGGGCAAGCTGCCCAAGGGGGCCATGGCTGCCGTCGGTCAGTCTACCCTTCTCGGCGCGGGTCGTTGTCTGCCGGTCGTCCCGCCCGGACGTGGGCTTCCTGTGTGTTGCCGAGGCTGCTTGCAACTCCCTCAAGTCTAAATACACTGATGCCTCGTTATTAATGCGCAAATAGTGGATTTTTAGTTCGAAACGATTTCGAAGCAGAAAGTGGTTTTGCTCAAATATTTTCTAGCGGAATGACGAATGGTTTCTCCGAGCCTTTCGCTACCGTGCACCGTGCCTAAACGAAAATTCGGATGAACCCGCGAAGGTTGTTCCTAACATTCCACTTGTCCGCTATAGAGCTTAATTAATATCAGTATAGCTATATTTATGAACCGTGACATAGGTAAACTACTAAATTGTTGCAGCTTTCCTAATCGACGGGGTGCATAGATGTGCTTGCTACGCGAAAAATATTCGTTCTTTAGAATGAGTTTGACAGAGAAACAAAAAAACATGCAGGAAGAGGGTAGGTTGTCAAGACATCGCTGCCCAAGTTTTACTCTCGCATAATCGCTGCAAGATAGTCCCGTTGAGTGCGCTTCTCACCAAGCACCGGTGCACTGCGGAAATGGAACGTGTATTTCTTCTCCGCAGTTTAAAGGTGCCCGGTGTGAAGCGCACTCAACGGGGCTAACTCAATGCGAGCAATAACTTGAAAAGCATGAATATCTCAGTTCATATAGAAACGAATATAGAATAGCGTATTATTTGAAACTACTATTCTAAATTTTAATATATCCGCAACACGGATTGTTAGTAGTTACTATATGGACGCCTCCGTCCCCTCAAAAAAGCATTCATAACGCAACTGGTCCTTACTAACGAGACAAAAATGCATACTTATCCAGTTCGTCCCCGAGAATGTTTTCTATGTTTAGGAACCTTCGTTTTCGTGTAAAAGCCAATATTTATCGACATTGGCACCCCAGACATGCCATATAAGAACACCAAGTTGAATGCAATTTTTCCCGAAATTCGGAAAATTAATTTGCGCTTTTTTTACATTTGTCGCCCTAAGAGTGTGGAGCTCCAGATTGAATGATGGTTAGATCGGGCTAGTTGATCGGCCTTCATTTGTGTATTTCGCGTAATCTTTCTCGTCTAGGTATTTTTAATTGTAATCCTTCGCCACATAGTTTAATTAAATCATTAACAAAATTAGTTGAAAACGTGATCGACAGCAGAAGCTTTGAAGTTTATTTTCTTAAAAAGAAAACTTATTATTGCAAAGGCAATTCCAGTGAGAGATTCACTCCATCCACTCTTAAGAGACAAGAAAGCGCTTGAAAGCGGAGTCCTTCTGATGCCATCAATTCAATAACGTTGAGCTTCAGCTGACTGGTGGCGATGGTCGCTAAAGGCAATAGCCAATTACTCATGAGATTTTTTTGTCAATGTTACCTGACAGTGCCGTCATGTTAGTCAAAACCTGCATGCTGCAAAATGTTTTGCGTAAAAATCACTAGAAGATGGCATTGTACTCCTGCAATGCAACGTCTCTGAAGAAAACGACATTGTGGAAATTGGGAGAAATTCAAACGGTAGTAGCTGCTAGAAGTGAGCTGCCCTAACACGAGTACGGACTTCGTGTTCTATTGGCATTACGCTATTGCCCGATACCCCAGACTAACGAATGCCGTGCTGACGTTGTTGTGCTCTGCAAACGGAAGTTGTTATGTTGAGGTAACGTTGTCAATAAACATTGTATGTCCTTATCCAACCAATGATTGCTATCTCTACGAAGCCATACTGGACATGGCCAGCGATCTCTTGCCCTAACCGGTGAGACTTCTGTCCGGCCTCTCCCAGGCCTGACGTGGGAGCAGGCAAAGCAACGTCGGAACGGAATGATCCCGGCCTGCCACAACGCGGAGCACTCGGTGACGGTGTCCGGCCCGGCAGAGGCGGTAACGGAGCTGGTGGCACAGCTCAAGGCAAAGAACGTGTTTGGCCAGGAGGTGAACAGCCTGGACTTGGCCTTCCACAGCCATTACTTGCAGGAGGCCCTCAATAAGGTGGGGCCCACTCTCCTTTGCGCAATCATACGCACATCCACTGCCGTTCCCAAATTTTCTTGTTAACTCTTTTTTGTTGTTATTTTTTGTCTTGCGTTTTTTTTTTTTTTTCTAGCAACTGGATTTTTTTTAGGCAACGTCTGTTTTAGTTTGTTTTTTCGTTATTCCAGAACGGCGAATCTTTGCCATCCAACCTCGCACTCCATAGCAAACACACAGATTTCTATAAATTAGAAGAATAATTCGGAATCCGAAAAATGGGAAAATAAAAAAGTTGCGGTTCGCGGTTCTGAATGAACTACACCTTCCTCCTTACTGCTGAGGGGCAAACCAACCCTCAGGTTGCAAAGTCAAGGTATCATTTTGCATTGTCTCGAAAAGAACAGCGCGAGAAAAGTGTCCTCGCTTGGAGGCACGCGGACATCAATTAACGCGGTGATAATAAATCAGCGCGTAATTGATAAGAGAGAATACTGTAAAACCTTTAATATTCGCGAGCCCTCAATTTTCGCGAATTTCACGAATTGAAGAATTCGCGAAATTTAAGGGCGCGCGAAAATTTCGGTCCTTAAGATTTTCAATGCAGGCGTCTGGAATTCGCGAAATTTAGTGGTCGCGATTATGTCATCTGTGACCAATTCGCGAAAAATAGGGGCCGCGAAAATAAAGGGTTTTACAGTACTTTAACTAGTGTGCTACTGCGTTGAATTAACCCAAGATTGGAGTAGAACAGAAACTTTAAAATGTAGATGGAACAAAAATTAACAGGACGACGTCTCCATTATTTTTTTTTTTCATATATATTTTCGGGAGAGGAAAAAAAGCAATGTAGCTTTGTTCCCTGTCTCCTTCTCGAAACTAGAGTGAATAAAGATGAATTGAATTGAATTGAGCTACTGCGTTACTTGCACTGAACTTTGCATCCAACGTGCAGGAAATACCCTGGCATGAGATGCGCACCGGTGAAAAAGGGGCTGTCTAGTGTTTAACCTGCAACAAGCTATTTATTCTTTCTCGCGCGAGTTGAAACATGGTGGCGTCGGTGTGAAAATAACCGTCAGACACTTCCGGAATTCTCAACTAAATTCAAGTTTTGCAGTAATTACTAAAACAAATCTATGCCCTGTCTCGGCCTAATGGTTGTTTTGGAGCACTGGCAGATGTAATTTACCCTTACGGTGAAAAATGTGTTCCTCCACCCGGGGCGCCCGCTTGCACTGTCGTCGCCTCGACGCTGACGGTGCCCCGCCCCCTCTTAGGTGGTCCCCGAGGCCCGCCCCCGTACAGAGCGCTGGATCAGCTCGTCGGTGCCGCAGAGCCGCTGGGGGGAGCCGCTGGCCCGGAACTGCTCGGCGGCCTACCACGTGAACAACCTGCTCTCGCCCGTCCTCTTCCGGGAGGCCCTGGAGCACGTGCCCAAAGACGCCATCGTGGTCGAGATTGCGCCACACTGCCTGCTGCAGTCCATCCTGCGACGGGCCCTGGGACCGGAGGTGGGTTTGTTTCTTTAATATATGAAACGTCAGTCCGACTTTCGTTGTACCCAAGAATTCTATTCACTAGATATTAAACACCCGAAACTTTGAAACAAAAAATTGAACAACAAACCTGCGTGTGTGGTGTCCACTTTTTTTCCCTAATATGTCCCGAGTGTTTGAGATGTCGAAAGTACAGCCGCTCCCTTGCGCATTGTTGAATATTTCTATCAATGCATTTACATTGATAGAAACGTGAATCCATTCAGTAGATTGGAAAGTTGGGCTAGTTGGTAGTTATTCATCCTGGTTTTAAAAGCGCACAAAAGACGAGGACAGAGTAAGAAACACAAACGACGTTGACGGTGCCTGCCCCCTCGTCCGTCGTTTGTGTTTCTTACTCTGTCCTCGTCTTTTCTGCGCTTTTAAAATCAAGATGAATCCATTCACATTAATAAAGATGGGAATGCATAAATGTTAATCTATCAATTCGCAATGATACAAACGTTTTCACACGGGACCATCATGAAACAAGTAACATTTAAAGATACTTAACTCACCTGCGACTACATACGATCGAGTACATCAAGACTTCTTGCGATGTCTTAAGACAAGATAACACGCTGGTACCATCTATGAGGTTACCATAAAGCTGCATTTTACTAGAGCGAAGGTTTTGCAGTATTTCGTGATCGTATGTACATTCTATCCGAGATATGGTCATTTATTACGTTGTCAAAAGTTTTTCGAGCCAACAACAACAAAAATGCGTAAAACCAGAAATTGTCAGTGTTTTACAGCTGCCCTATAGATCACAATCATCGTCATCATTATCGTCATAATTTATTTCTCCTTGAAGGACCAGGGGACAGTATACAGGGAAGTGGAGACCTCAAAAATCAAAAATGCAACACAAATATTTAAAAAAAAACACGCTGCAATTTAGTTGTAGGTTAGAAATATAAGGTAATGACTGCAGCAAATTTCTTCGTGTCAGATAAGGAAACAATTACGTCAGGCAGTGCGTTCCAGTCGTCAATGGCCAATGGTAAAGTAGACATTTGGTGAGTGACGCTCGAAGGTGAAATCGGACGGAGTTGTCAACAATGGTTGAGGCGAGAAAAAAATCGGTAAGGAGGCGATAGAAAATTTTGTCCGAGATGATTGTTGTAATAGAAGATCCGTTGAAGAAGAAGAGACGAGATGACCTGCGGCGTTGAGAAAGTGTGTCAAGGTTCGCTGATTGGCCAAATCCTGATGTGCTTGCATAAGGGGAATAGTCGGAATAAATAAAACGGAGGGCTCTGCTTTTAACGGATTTCAGGTTGTTAGTTCGGTATGCCTTCCACGGTGACCATATAAAGCAAGCGAATTCTAGTTTAGTTCTGACCAAGCTAGTTGTTTTACTAGAGACGTAGCTTGTCTAAGGTTACGGCTAAGAAATCAGAGAGTGCGGTTAGCATCTGCGGTGAAAGATGTTATGCGAGTGGTCAATGGCAGGTCAGATGTCAGATGAATTCTAAGGTATTTATAAGATAAACAAGCAGCTACTGGGATGCTAGAAATGTGGTAAGAGGAAGATAAAACACTTGAACTGTGTGAAAACGATAGCGATTTACAATTATTATAGTTTAAAGCCATTTGCCATTTTCACACCACTGACTTATAAGTTGGAGATCCTTCTGCAAGAGTAGTTGATCACGGCGTGAATGAATCGGTCTATTGATGACACAGTCATCGGCGGACAAACGCACTGCAGAAGAGATTCCATGGTGGAGATCGTTAATGTAGACTAAAAAAAGGGGGCCAAGAACGGTTCACTAAGGAACGCCAGCCATTACTGTACTTGTGGAAGATTTTACATTGTTAATAGAAGCTTACTGAGTGACATTAGTGAGGAATTTAGAAATCCATTTGACCACAGAGGGATGAAGATTAATATATTTTAGTTCCTTTAAAAGATGTTGATGAGGGACCCTGTCGAATGCTTTGCAGAAGTCAATGAAGATGGCGTCAGTTTAAAAATTGGAATCGAAATTTGAGTAAGCGACAGTTAGAAACGCTGTAGAAAGTTTGTTATGGTTGAATATAAAATAAGTTCCTAGAGTGTATCTGAAACGCTGGTGAGCGAAATGGTACGATAGTTGCTGCTTAGTTGGCGATCGCCTGTTTTATGAATGAGTATGACGTTAGCAATTTTACAATCGGATGGAACTTGTGCGAGTTTAAGATATCGACAGAATATGTCGCAGAATGAAAGTGGAAGAAGTGTGTTCGGTGTTTATTAATACCTCAGTATTAATTTGGTCGTCTCCGGAGATGGAGGACACCTTCAGTTGATCAATCGCCTTAAGTACTCCATTGCGATCAATTAAGATAGGATTCATAAGAGGGTAAATGAATTGGCACGAATCGAAAACATTTAGCAAGTCCTCGTTAGTAAAGATGTAGCATAATAAATTGTTAATAGCAAGAGCGCCGTATTTATCTGTCCTCATCTAAAAATTGCAATGGAATTGACAGGGACGGATTAATTATTTTCCAAATTTTTCTTATTTTTTTTGGTTTGCTGGTTTGTATGTTGGGGAGGTTGTGACTATAGAATTTGTTTTTGGCATGACTACTGGAGGATTTATAAGCTCTAGGGAATTCGTCCTAGGCGTTTCAAGAAGCCGTAGTGTTGACAGTCGTTGCCCGCTTACAGCCTTTTTTTCTGGTTGGATGGGCTGTGAATTGTTTTGTTGTACAAAGGGTAGTGCTGTCAGATATAATACCGGTCAGTGGATTCAAACGCTCAATTAGGTGCATCAGAGTCCAGTTGTCATTAACCATTCTTTCCCAGAAGTTACCAGAGAAAGTGTGATAAAAATCTTTGAGGTTCGAGTTGATAGATGAGTAGTCAGCTCCCGCGTAATTGGGAATGAATTTGTAGTAATGGTGATCTACGTGGAGCAGAGAGAGAAATTAAGTTAAATCGACAAAGGGATGGTCACTAATGCCGGGTAAGTGCGTAATGTTAATGAAAAGTGAGGCCTTGACTTAAGTATAAGTCCAGTATATTGCTGCATTGATTAGTGATTCTAGTAAACTGAGTGATAACAAATGAAAAGCTAAAATGTAAACAAAAGTCTATAAATTCTTGAGAAAAGCGGAACTAGAAGAAAGGGCAGACCAGTCAATGTTCGGGTAATTGAAATCGCCAAAAAAGTAATAAAGGCGTTAGGGTTTTTAGTTGACACTTCAGAAATAGATTTATATGGCTTGGTAACATTCCTCATCGCTATCTGGTGGTCTGTAGCACACCCACTATTACGGGGGGCGTCGTAGCCGACGTACACCCAAATAACTTCCAAGTCGGTAAGGATCGGTAAAACCCGAGACGGAATATTTATTTTATTTATACATACTGCAGCCCACATGGGGCTGTGGCAGGAGTGTGAGTTAGACACAGACGGTCCAGACATAACTATGGACCACTGTCAACGGCACACAAAAATTCATCTGGTTGTAGTGACCGGATGTTTCCTGGTAACAAATTCCAGCGTGCAATGATGTGAGAAAAAAAACTGTATTTATACATATCAATACAAGGATGAAAAGGTAAAATGTTTGATTCGTGGTGGCTCCTGGTTTCAGTTGGCTTGAGAAAATTTATGTAGCTATCTAAAGAATTAAAACGTGATGAGTTAATCATGAAATACAAAGACTTTAGGCGCTGAATACCAGGCCGCTTAGAAAAATGTCTTAGGCCTAACACGGAAAGGATAGAAGAATGAGAAAAGTTTCTATCATACCGACGACAAATAAAACGTACTGATTTCCTTTGAACTGATTTGACTTTATTTATATGGGACTGTTTGTAGGAAAACCAAATAATAGAACCATATTCGAGGATTGGTGAGCCAAATTTTTAAAAGTTGAAAGCTTAGTATCTTGAGGTGCCACACGTAAGGTACGCCGCAGGTATCCAAGTCTTTTAAGAGATTTGTTACATGTCGTATCAATGTTCTTAGACCAAGACAAATCTGACGTGAAAAAGAGGCCAAGATATTTATATTTGAAAACTCTTTCTAGGCGTAACCTGTCTAATGAATAAATAAACACAGGAGGTGATGAACGCCTAGAAAGGTCATAAAAACGGTTTTACGAAAGTTGGGGTTCATTTGCCAGGTTTAACACCACGCACAAAAACTCATAATAAAATTGTTAAGGGTTATATGGTCATTGGAGGAGTTTATCACGTAATATAGTACGCAGTCGTCAGCGTAAAGTCATATCTTTGTGGAAATATAGCGTGGCCATTGATGTATAAAAAGAACAGTAGCGGTTCAAGAACTGATCATCGTGGAACACCCGATGATACATCAACTGTACTAGACTTGGATGAGTTAAAGTAGAGAAACTGTGACCGACCAGAAAGAAACCTGAATATCCAGTTGACCAGGTGATGATTATTTAGAATTAGGTTAAGCTTGTGTAGAAGGTAAAATGAGGAACTGCGTCGAAAGCCTTTGACAAATCTTTAAATATCACATCAACTTGATTACCGATATCAAGAGGCTTACCAATATCATGAACAGATCCTGTTAGTTCTGTCATAGTACTAGAACCGCTTCAAAACCACTTTGGAAATCGCATAAAATGTTCTTAGTTTCGAGAAACTCTATAATATGTCTGTAGACAATATGTTCCAATAATTTGCATGAATGTGCCGTTATAGAAATTGCTCTGTAGTTTGACAGTGATTGCGAGTTGCCAGATTTGTATACGGAAATGATTTTTGCGAGTTTCCAAGATGAAGGAACTGTGGCCGTTAACACTAATTTCTGAATAAAAAAAAAATAAAAAAACCGGGAGATACCGACCGCACCAAAGGGAGTACCGGACAATAAATGAATTAGGAATGTCATCAGGACCAGGATTTTTTTTTTTTAGTATCTAACTTCAAAATCAGGTTTAGTACACCCCTAACGTTCACATCTATGTCGTCAACCGCAGACTGCGAAACATGAGAAAAA